AGACACACACACACACACACACACACACACACACACACACACACACACACACACACACACACACAGGCTACAGCAAAAGTCAGCTTGACAGATAGCATCGGAGAAAGTGGTGCTTTCAGTCATGCAAATGTCGAAATTCAACTCACGCAACCTGTTATGCTCCCCCACCTTTCCCCCCGTCCTACTCCCTCCTCCTTCCTCCTCCTCCCTCCTCCCGTCGCGTGCCACGGGCGACACCGGCACGCAATTTTTTTCCACCTTTCTCTCATCCTCGTCCTCCTCTCTTCTCCTGTCACGTGCCACGTGGCACATCGGCACAGTAGTTTTTCTTGTTCTCTTCCCCGTCGTCGTCCTCCCTCCTCGCCTCCCCCTTCCCTCCTCCTCTCCTGCTTCCTCCATCCTCCCTCCTCCTACGTCCTCCTTCACACTTCCTGTCTAGTTATAAAGAAGGTTTTGAGGAAGACGGAAACGGAGCAAATGGGAACAACAAAAACTGTCGATCATTCAAGCAGCGAACATGGGCAGCCGAACGCATGACATGGTTCCCGTTCCATTTACGAAAAGAGAGAGACTGGCAAAGAAAACTTTATCCGCCCTCATCTTGCTCTCGTCCTCGTCGTCCTCCTCCCCCTCCTTCCCTCCTCCTCTATTCTCCTGTCGCGCGCCACGTGGCACATCGGCACGCTATTTTTTTGCTGTTCTCTTCCTCGTCGTCCTCCTCCCTCCTCCTCCTCGCTTCACCTGCCCTCCTCCCTCTGCTTACCCATTCCCCCTTCCTCCTCCTCCGTCCTCCTTCCTCCCTTCCTCCTCCTACGTCCCTCTCCGCACTTATTGTCTAGTCTAGTTATAAAGAACGTTTTAAGAAAGACCAAAAAAAAAATTGACAGCAAAGCGTGTCGATACGTCAAATTGAAAAGGAAGCACATGACAACAACAAAATTTGCCGTTCATTCAAGCAGCGAGTATGAGCAGTCAAACGCATAACATGGTTTTCCGTTTCGTTTGCGGAAAGGAAGACTGGCAAAGAAAACTTTATTCACCCCCGCCCCCGCCCCCGCCCCCCCCCCAGCGGCGATCCCCATTCCCTATGAAATGCAACCATCCCCCTCTCCTCTCCCAATCCGATCTTGCCTGCCTTGATCCAATCGGCCATGACCTGCTACCATCCCATCCTCTCCCATCGGCCGTGTCCTGCTACCATCTGATCACCTGGCACTCCTTTGTTTTCTTTTCTCTTTTTCGAAGAGTGAGAGAATTCACGTGCTCAACCACAGACGGACGGAAAATTAGACACAGTCATACATTCAGCCCCTCTCTGGGCAGAATCCTCACACTAAGACCTTTTCGACTGAGCTCAGGAGGTCATTCATTACAGGCGGATGCATCCAAGTCAGGCCATTGATTGCACTCAGATACACTCTGTGCAAGTAAGCCCTTACAGTGTTTCTCCCGCCTAAAAGACACAGCCACGAGTTGCAATGCACACACTCATCTCGCCCGTACCAACTTGCCAAAAACTTAGGTACGATGATCTCCCAGCAGTGAAACTCCCACCAACCAACAACTCACACCACTGCCACTTGTCCGCTCTCCCTTCTTCTCGTGCGCATCGTATTCGTCTCGGTGTCCCCTCGTCTTCCGGAGGACAGAAGACACAAAAAAAAAAAAAAATCAACTTTGCATTTCATTGGAAAAAAGCAGGGGGAGGCCGGGAATCGCTCCACAATCAACCCGGAAAACACGTCCTCTGGGACCATGGGCCTCGCTGCACTACTCTCCGCATGCACAAAGGACAAAACATATGGCAGCGTTTGGCAGCGTTTGGCAGCGTATCTTTCCATGTTCTAGAGAAGATTCATTCTCATTTTGTGCATTTGGAGAGTAGTGCAGCGAGGGCCCTATTACCCACCTTAGGCTTCGATCCCACAAGACGTTTGGGAGTAGGCACCGCGCCGTTCGGTTCGGTCCGTATAATTTTTTTTTTAATCCCACAGCCCCGACCTTCAAGGGCCTATCACAAGAAGTATGGCGGAAAGCGGTGGGCGTGCCAGGGACCTGTGGATTTCTATTGGTCCGACCCAAAAAAAAAAAAAAAAAAACAGAACTCCATTCGGCCTGCCTGCTTTTAGGGAAGGGAAGGGGCTGGCCGTTATTTGGAAAACTGTTGTCGCTTCGCGGCGGCTGTCGCGGCCTGATTGACTGACATACCGCGAGGCCGCGGGTTCGCAGCCCGCAGCGCCGACCTGGCGAACAGGGCCGCAGACGGCGTAGCTAAGGCGGGCAGGAATGCAAGTGGCGCCGAGGAGGTTGCGGGTTTGAGCCCCATAACCGTTTGTGGCGCACTTAGTGCCAACCAGCGCTGATAGTCCGCTTGAAAACTTCGACCGGTATTAACAGAGTTTAGCCATCACGGGTGTGAGTGTGAGTGTGAGCGGGCTGTGTGTGGTACGAGGGAAAGTATTGACTGCTGTCATCCCGTCTGCAGCGGGGGACACTGGCAAAATGCTTGGTCTTTGTGTTAGCCGGAGCCCCACCTATAGCCCCGCCCCATTCTTGACTGCCATGGTTGAGGGGGGGGGGGCAAGATGCATCGTCTGTGGTGGCTAGGTGGAGACAACAAAGCTATGTTCGCAGGGGTCTCCTCTATAAACCTCAGGGGTAGTGGCAGGAAGTCAGTGGAGCTGAATTGAAAGAATCTGGAAGGTGATGAAAGATTTGAGAGAAGAGCATACCCTAGCTTTATTATAAAAAAAAAATAAGAAAAAGAACATGTAGGAAACCGGGGCCAGCGTTGTGTGAGCAGTGTCTGCAGCTGGGAAAACGTATGGAAGTTGTTGTACCATGGAATGCCAGCGTACGCAGCCGGTTTTTTTTTCTTTTTTTATACAGAAGAAATGGCACTTTTTGTAATAGCCGGAAAACGGGTCCGGCGTCCCTCATACATTTGGCACGCTGATGTGGGGCGAGGCACCCCCGACTGGGCTCATCTTCAACCGTAGCCTGTGAAGCGCCCAAGCAAAAAAGGGCAAACGAATTATAAAAAAGAGCTATCCAAAACGTCGTCCTTCTGTTATTAACTTCAGCAATTCCACAAAGAGGGTCCATGGCTGAAAGCCCAGTCTCTGCAGCCAAAGCGACCAGAATCTATCTTTGCTGTATTGTGTCGTACGAGTAGACCCAAAAAACTCAAAAACAGCATGTTAAACTGCACAGGGAAAAGGCCCAAAAAAGCCACTCCAGAAATGGTCCTCCAGGCGAGGCCGACGGAAAAAGATCCGGAAAGCTCCCTGTCTGTAATCAAATGATTTTAAGCCGTTGGCTGTGCAACCTTTCTTTTTTGCATTCTGTATTCCCAGGCTACAAAGACAGCTTGTTTTATAGCGTAGTAGATATCTGCTTCCATCATTGAAGGCGTAAAATGTTATGTCGTTTGCATAGCAGCATCTCGAAGACTTCATATCGTCAATATAGCATCAGTCCGAACAGTCTCTTCTGCAGGGGTTGAACGACCAAGGGACGGTCGTCTTCTTGAAGTCACCCCCATCAGTACAAATTGATCATCTCATAGCGTAGCTGCCCCGGGAGATACAATCAAACAACCCACATCAAAAGAAAGAACAAAGAAAAGGTCACTGTACTTCACAATTAGGAAGCCGCCGTTTGGCATTGCGAGTTAGCCTCTGCATGTGCCCTGAGTCGGCACACTCGTGAACTGTTGAAGATGAGATCCGAGGTTAAATGTGCTGTTGAATACAGACCTGAGTTCAAATGCATCGGCTATGATCAGTTGTCGAGGATGGGGGGCTCCGCCCCCCACCAGAACACCCCTCCACCCCCAATGTTGACTTCGCAGCGGTGAATCTCAGGGCATACTCACCGTAGGACTTTTTCTGCCAATCTCTGTAACTGCAGTCAGATATATTTAATAACATGCTACTGTAAGTATGCCCTCAAAAGGCACATTCATAAACTGTCAAAGTTCAGACCTGACTTCCATGCAACCTGGGGGAGGCTGAAGGGCCAGGACTTTTTTGCAAATTGTTGGACATGATTGTTGCCAGATTCATGGAGTCGGGCCATAACAACAGTCAGATACATAACAACGGTCAGATACATTTAGGAAACTGCTAGTGTGAGTATGAAAAATCCCTGCGTACGCAAGCTCGGGGAAGCTCAAGGGCACACGAGGACCTTTTCTGCCAATTTGTGGAGGTGATTTGTCTGCGAGCTTCTTGTCTCAGGCCATGCACCACCTCCTTCCGCTGAATAGAACACTTGGTCATAATCGCCATATGTAGACTACAAGTTGTTCCAAACACAGCTATAATGATCGTATGTTCTGTCCGAGGGACAACGGTAGGACTTTCCTGGACCAATGATACCTACGAGATTTTTGCACATTGAAAGGACGGTCGCCTGAATCCACTACGCAATGTTGTAAATGAATTTAAAAAAAAAAAAGTTGGACTAATGAGAACTCTATCTGGACGTATAAGGGTCCAATTCAGACAGACCCTATTGGCCCACGTCTTCAGATAGAAATTAGCGGGAAACCTTCCCGCCCATTTGCAGAAACAACTGGACCTGGAAAGGGGTCGGGAAGAGTCAGACCCTTACCTGGGGTCTCTTGCCAGGAGGCCTTGCAACTCTTCCGAAAGGACGTGGGTACCCCCGCTCACTCCAGGAATAGGAAAAACATTTCCTATATTTAGAAAAGAAGACGGCGCCATCGAGGAACTTTGAGCTTGAGCGCCGCTCGAAGCTACGGCTGATACTCCGCTAGCGAACCTGCGCCAGCACATACGGTGATAGTAAGTACGTGAAGGTTTCTTTTCGCAATTATTCGCTGCGCACGTGCGCACGAATTCTGAGGGTTGAGGTAAGTGCTCCTTCATCTGCACCTAGTCTGAATGTTTGGCAAGGTTCATATGAGGAGAAGGGAACTACACTTCGCTTTCTTCCTGTTTAATGAGTAATCAGGTTTGCTTTATGCTTTACTTATCCCGTACTTGCTTCACTTGGATCGCTTCTCTGTAGGGCTACTGAAATGTCTGCTTTGTCGTACTAATACACGTAATGTCTACTCGAATGATTATCTCACTTTATTTACCATACCTTATTGAGGTTCAGTCGATGTGCACGCAATTTGTTGTCTTCTTAGTAAGAAATTTGTACTTGGCCTTTTCTAAGCAGGCCTTGCTGCTTATTGCAGATATGAGGAGTGACTAATCCCTTTATGCGCTAAGATTCACGAATAATGGTTTGCTGATCAAGTATTCTGAGCGAGGGCTGGAGGCCGATGCTTACCTATAATGAGTGTAGCATAGTCTTGCTTCTCGAAAGATCGACAGGTCATCAGAATTCAGGAGAAGGAATACTTTAGTACCATGGTAGGAGGAGGCGGGCACTTGATTTAGGGCAATGTCACTTTGGACTTGCTTGATGAAACGCCTGAACTATGCTGCGGGCTGAGGAATCAAGTGCAGCGGTAGAAGGTTGAAGGCTCGCCTATGATTGGTGCAGCATAAGCCTCAACTACCTACAGGTGAGGGTCTCCATCTGAACTTAGTCAGGATACCTAAGTTCGGCAAATGAACGCCTTGAAGACCGAGAGAGTTGAAACGCTCTCGCTGCAGAGTAAGCAGATGACTCGCCCCTTGCTAGGACTAGCTGACCGTCTTAGTTACGTCTTGCCTAATGGGTAAAAAAAAAAAAAAAAAAAAAAAAAAAAAGGGAAGAGGAAGGAGTTCACAGTCTCGGTCATTAAAACCAGGCTATTGCTCTGCTCGTCGATAAATCTCCGAAAGCAGCCATCCAAGAAAGGTTTCAGACTGGCTGCTTGTCGATACGGCAAGTCCGCAATTTAGGAGTCTCCGCTTTCAAGTAGTGCAACTAGGAATTAAGGTTTGCCCTGCCCATTTGTGAGAATTGATTTGGGAACTAACCGATACTATCAAAGTCCAGGGAACTCTTAGAACCTAAAGGTACTATCGTTGTGTGCACTATTCATTAGAGAACCCGATTGGAGAAGTCGCGGTTTGATCTAATGAAAATCTTATCGCTACACAGACTAGTGACGTATCGTTTTGAGAACAGAGCAGTAATGCTGGAGTAGGGAAATGTATAAGTCTGTGCTTCTACTCCAGGCAGCGTCCTGCCCTACTGCAACCTTTCGAGGGACTAGATACGCCCCTTCTCTAGGACGTCTGTGCTCTGAATTTGATCGGTCTCAAATCTCTTTACTTATTAGATCCTAGGGTTTCATCCAAGATAATTTGGAACTGCTGCCCTGAGTACTTTAGGCGTTAGAGAGATGAATGGCAGCAATCCGGGGTAGAATAGAATACTCCTCGTTAACAGAAGATTACGAGTTTTAGAGGACGAAGTTTCAGAAGCTAGAATAACTCGCCCAGTTAATGCTCCACTTTACTTAGAAATAGGACTAGCCTGACCGGTAGAATGTGAAAGAAATTTCTATTACTAGGCAAATTGTTTATCGAGTTTACGTCATAATTAGCAACCACTGCTGTAGGATTGTAGAGGGTTGTCGAATCCTGGCAACTATTAAACTCTAAGGGAAAAAAAAAAAAAAAAAAAAGGGTGGGGAGCGGAATTGGAAAGGACTGAATTATCGTTGTTTTCTCGGTCATATGCCTCTAGACTAAGGATGACTACAACTAATCTAGAGATGAGTGGCTAAGAAGACGCTTGAGTCTATTCTCTTCGAAGACTGATGGCCAAATCCGGATTTGACGCTCCAACTAACTAGGAATCTTGATTTTCAGTTCAAAGTTGTTTGGGTTGAGCCAGACTAAAAATTCTTAGTATGCTGAAAATACCGTTTTAGCAACTAGTAAACTTGAAGCTTAGGTATGAACTCCCTAGGATCTCGTTATTTAACATGACCAACCTAAAAAAAAAAAAAAAAAAAAAAAAAAAAAAACGAGAATTTTGCATCTAGTAGCGCAGTACCTACCGATAGATCCCGAGTTCTGCTATTCTCCCTAAGTAGGACCTAAGACCAGGCCGAGTATCAGCAACCACTTACAATTCTATAAAACGTTGAGAAAGAATCCGGAAGCTTCTCTTTGGCGATATTTGAACTATATAGCATTACCTTAATCAAACGGGTCTGGGTAATTAACCCATCACTAGGTAGCAGAAAACCTCTGAGGTTGGCCCCACCCTGACTCAGACCGGTTCCGTGGTCCAATCGGGCCTGAGGACAAACACTTGCTTTAGATTAAACTCTAAAGTCCTGATAGCCTCCCCTATTTTACTTCACACTCAAGTACAATAAGTAAAGACACTTATGCGGCTGTAGCTATCGTCCATTTGAAGAGAGTCGAGAAAAGAAGAAGGGAGAGAGAGGAGAAGGGTGAAGGAGGCTGAAGGGAGGAAGCAAGAAGGATAGAAGAAATCCGGAGGAGGAAGGGAAGATGCAGCCGGGAGGCAAGCACCCCTAAAAAAAAAAAAAAAAAAAAAAAAAAAAAAAGGGAGGGGATGAGGGAAAGACAGGAAGAAGAAGAAAAGGAGGGCTGTCTCTTATACACATCTAGATGTGTATAAGAGACAGGTCATAGGGAACGTTGCTGCTTTGCAGAAAATCGGAGCATCAACAAGAAGCAGCCACGACCACAACGCACGGAATTAGCGGGATTGACTATTGACTATGTTGTATTACGACCTGTCTCTTATACACATCTAGATGTGTATAAGAG